CCCTCCCTCCCTTCCTCCTTCCCTTATTTTCTTCCTTCCTTCCAACAGTATCTTGAGTATAATGGGCAGGATAATAGCCCCCAAAGATGCTCATGTCTTAACCCCTTGAACCTATGAACAAGTTACCTTATATGCAGGTGTGGTTAAGCTGCAGATCTTGATTTTAGTTTTAGTTATCTGTGCTATTAAATTAATGACCAGAGCCCTGTGAGAGAACAGCCAGAGAATCAGTCATAAGAGAGACCCAGAGTGAGATGGCAGCTGGAACCAGGGAATATGAACAGCCTCTAATTTCATGGAAGAGACAGGAAGGCAGGAGCCCAGGGCTTCATGCGTAATTCTAGAGGCAAAGGGATCCGAGTGGGAACACAGAAAGTGCCACTTTACAGAGTGGATACCTCTGTATCAAGAGCCCAAAGATATATAGAAGATTCTCTTTTCTATGGTCCTGCCTGCTTAAACTTGTTCACACGATACAAAGGGTTGGGCTCCCTGGCTCTCCTTCAAGTACTAAGACAGTTCTCTGCACACCCTTCTCACTGAAGGTTGAGGATATAAATGAAGGCATTATTTGATAGTGTGTTTGGGCTCTTCTTCATATAGTTGCTATATCCCATCTTGTATGGCCCACAGTATGCTTTACCTTAGGAGCTCAGTCTGAGACCTCTGTAGACAGTTTTCTGAGCACCATTGACTGCAAAATTTGCTAATGTGGATACTGTGACAGAACCTAGAACTTGGCGGGTATTTTTTTTCTTTATTAGAATCTAAACTGATTTGTGGTCTGGAGCTGAGAAGCTCATCTGCAACACTTTCTAGAAACTGTGTTAATGGCCTGTTCCAAGCTCATTAGAGGCATCTTGGTAGTTCCCAGTTTGCAATACCTCTATCTTGGCATACAGAGAGGAGATTGTCTTTCTGTTTGTGGCTTATAATAAACCACAAAGGCTGAAAAGTCTTAAGTCTGTCTGTCAATCTTGCTGCCTAGTAGTTCCAAGAAATTTTAGAACATATTTATTTCAGTTCCCTGGTTTCACTAGTGAAAAAGCAAGGAGGCCCAAAGAGTGCTACCAAAGTGTGATGAACATCTCAAATTTGTATGTACCCGTGGTCAAGGAGGACTGTGGTGCTACAGAACCTCCATGGGAATGCTGATCCTTGATTCATCTTCTTCTTTTAAACTAGACATGGCCATTTTCTGCTTTGTGAAATACTGCTCTTTAGTAGTCTTGACTCACAAACAACTACTCTATTTTTAAGCCCCTAAATCTGATGTCACTTGCAGTTTAAAGTATCAGTGGCCTCTTTCCAAATTTCCTTCCTTCAGCCTGCTGGATAGTTTAGGCCCCTGAGAAACTAAAAATGTGTATAGAGGTTAATGCAGGGACCGTTGACGTTCTAATTATTCCTGAAGTGGGGTCTTCGGATTTTGTTTCTTTAATGAGTAGAATAAGGTAGTTACACTTGGTAATACCCATTCACCCAAAGGAGGTGGAGGTGTTAAATCATTGTGGGTTTTGATGAATGGCTTGTACACTGAAAAATAAATTGGACAAACTGGCACAGAGCTCAGTGAACATGAAATCAGCTATTAGAAGAAAGCTTGTGAACAAATTCTGAGGTAGATATGCATCTTTTGATTAATGCCCTATCAATCATCCACACAGCTACCTTAGGTGAGTCTTGCTGTAATCATTCATGGTTGCTAACAGAAATACAGGCAGAAAGTATAGCACTGTAGAATAGATATTACTACTTATTCTAACTTACTGTGAAAGTCACTGTTTTTTACCATGTTTCTGCTTTCCTTTATTAAGGAAATACAATGTAAAATGAAAGGTGAGAACCTCAAAGCCTGGTGGATTTCTCTATGGGTATTCTTAATGGTATTCAATTTTAAATGGGCAAGCTATTGTAACAGGAAGCTCTCTGTAGGAATAATAGTAACAAATTCTTATTGAAGCCGCCCTTTTATGGGTTATAGTCAAATAGACAAAAATGTAAAGTTGTGTTAATGAAGGGAGTATATCTCTGGAATTATTACTTAAAGTTGTTCAAATGGTTTGAATTTTGTAATTGTAATTATTTTATTCTCAGTTAATGTGCTTAGCAGCAATAATAATTAACCCACCAGATTGGAAATTTGCATGAGTTCTACCTTTAATATTATGAGAAACACTGGTTCTTTCTTGCTAACATTATAGTTATTTGTGTGTGTATGTGTGTGTGTGTGTATGTGTGTGTGTTCACGTGTGCACTCAGTACATTTATTATCAGAATTTTTTTTATAGAGAATTTTCCATGTATACAGTTATTAGTGCTCCGTGTATTTATATGTCACTGGAAAAGTCCTCCACAGTCCGTCATTGCTTTCAGAGGATTCAATTTCTAAACTGTGCTCACACAAAGAAGCATTTGGGAATTGGCCACTGGCCTGAGTATCTTGAGGTGAAGGTAGCACTTCCTGGGAACTGACTGTGACCTGGGAAATTTGTGGCAAAATAAAGTGGTGACAGGCATTAGCATGCATAATGGGTTGTAATAGACACTTAATGCTGGTGTGCTGGAGGAAAGAGCTGGGCTCTCCCACTGGAATATTCCTCCATCAAAGCCCATTGATCACTGATTTCAGTGGGGAGAGCTTAATCCATCAGCGTCTGTAACCAGACGGCACTGATGGAAATTCTTTAGGTGGTATTCTGGATGAACCAAGCTTTCCATCTTTACAAACAAATGAGTGATATGACAAGCATGGTGTTCAAAACACATTTAACCAATTGATTTTCTTTCCTCTTGTAATAAGATCTGGAGACATATGAAAGCGATCGGTATGAGCTAAGATTAAAGAAATTGCTCCATGCACAGGAACAAGTGGCGCCCAGAGCACTGAGAAGTACTATAAAGCATGTAGTCACCCATTCTCTTTTTTTTCTATAAGTTTGTTATTGCAATAAATAGTTATTATTGAGCCGATACCCCTTATTTCCCTTTTCTAGAATCTTCCATCAAGGTTGTGATCTGGGCAGATGTGCACATATGTCTGATCTTAATGCTCTGCCTTTTCTTGGAAGTATTCAAGGCAGTGATTGTTTCTAACTTTTTCTCACCGAGACAGACAGACCTGGCGTGATTTGGGTGGCTTCAGTTAAGGCTGCAGATATCCTTAGTTTGCAATACTTTCTGATGTCAGCTTAAGTGATACTTTTCTTTCTTATCTTCCTCCACAGCCCTGCTTTGAGCTTCACCTACCCCTCCGCTCCTGTGTCTCTCCATATGCATCAACAGATCCTAAGCCGACAGCAAAGTTTAGGCTCTGCATTTGGACATAGCCCTCCCCTCATCCACCCTGCTCCAACATTTCCAACACAGAGACCTATCCCTGGGATTCCGACCGTTCTGAACCCTGTCCAGGTCAGCTCTGGCCCTTCTGAGTCCTCACAGGTGAGCGGGGCAGCTTTGTTTCATTTTGGTCAACAGAGGCCTTATCATCATACTGGTTGTTAGGGTGATTGAGTTCATTGTTGTTGAGGCTTCATGTGGTATCTTGACTATTCTTTAAAGGTGCATTCAGTTTTGATGAATGTGAACCAGGGCATCTCCCATCAGATCCATTTGCGTATGCTTAAAAGAAGGCTGGATGATAAGACTACACTCTAACCATCTATAAACTGCATCTTCTATTTGTAGTCTGTGTGTGTGGACTCTCAGCCACTGTCCACTCCTCCACTGTAACCAGGCTACTACTGAGCACCATATGATCCTCTGTAGTAAACATAAAATACCAGTCTCTCTACTGTTTTTTGCCAGCCTGGTGTGATTTAAGAAAAAAATCTAGAAGCTATAATTGAGGAACTTCACTCATAGTTTGTGCTGCTCTCCTACTCAGACTCAACATTTTTGGAAATAACTTTAGATTATTGAAGTCTGGGGCACTTCCTCTATTCTTCAAGCTTTTAAAAGCCACAAGCAATTGCTACTCATGAGTCAGAAGTGGAGAATGAATTATCTAGCATCATCTGGGCTCTCCCATAGGTGACTGGCATTAACAGAAGCCTTGTTATATTATCAAACAGGCTTGTTTGTTTCCATTAACATTTTTTACTTGAGTTTTGTTTATTAATCAAAGCCTGATTTTTCTGCAAATATGACCAGCAGAGCAAGCCCACAAGCGAGTCTGCAGTGAGCAGCACCGGTGACCCTATGCATAATAAGCGTTCCAAGATCAAACCTGATGAAGACCTCCCCAGTCCAGGATCACGGGGGCAGCAGGTAAGACACCCAGGCTTTACAGAAGAGCCTTTACGTCTCTCACAGTGATTTGAGGTCAGTTCCTCATCCTACTAGATGTATACACAACATTTTCTTGTCCACTATATTCTTGACATTGGTTATGTGTTTGAAAGTGACCCCATTAGGGATTGATTGAATTCATTTCTCTAGTTCAGAACCAAATACTGGCAATTAAAGATGTTATGTGGGTGTGTGTTCTTCATAGGTGAGACAGTTTAGAAGTTTGAGCCACCACAGTCCATAGAGCGCTTGGTTAGACCCATCTGTTTCTATTCATATGGACCTAAATTCCTAAGCTTCTGACCCCATGCTTAAGCCCAGGTAGAGTTTATGTTGTCCCCTTCATTGATCACGTTCTCCACTTATCTTGCTACTTCTTGGTTAAAAATAAATAAATAAAAGCTCCGAGAACCAGGAGATACTAAAAAGCCCAGCCAAATAGATTCTGGACAGTATGCTGATCATTTAAATCTGACTCTAATAAAGACCATGTAGGGTATGTCTAGATTGCCACTTCTTATGCTCTTGAGCCAGACATGACAAGTTTAATCAGTGCTGTTTCCCTCAAGTCAGAGCTGAGTGAGAGTCTAAAGGTCCATAAAATCTGAACCTTTCTCTCGCCGGTATGGTTCAACCTAGTCCCTACTGAAGTAAGGCAATGGGTCGCTCCAGGAGAATTTTGAGGATTGAAGAAGGTTCTGATAGAGAGGGAGATCTGAAACCATTCTTCTCACAGTTTGCTAGAGAACAAACAGCCTTGCTGCTTACACCACGGTGTATCCGTAAATAGTTTGATCATGTAAGCCTAAATCAGGACTCAGATCTAGCTAGTTAGCTATTGCGTAGAATCCTGGATATTCTTTGCGTTGTATTTACTAAGAGGCTGTTGTAGACGACTAGGAAAGTCTGTCTCCAGAGCATCCGATGCTCTTTCTATTGCATCCACCATGAGGCAGACAAGCATTCCCTGAAGACCTGATATTAAACCAGGAAGGCATGATCCCTAGCAAAACAGTCTACAAAGTACCTCTCACATCGGGGAAAGAACTGAAAGGATGTAAATGCCATTTGCCTGCATTACAAGATATAACAATAAATAAACAGATTGAAGAGAATCAAAACAACCAAACAAAATAGGGACAGCTTGGAGTAGTAAGTAAAAATTGCTACTTTTATATTTTCTGTTGCAATTTAATTTTTGCCTTGGATTTGTTTATTTGTTGTTTGTTTCAAGATGTTAGTTTGGTTCATAATCTAGGCAGCAGGGCCTGGTTTCAGATTTTTCTTTCTTTCCCACTGTGCCTGATTTTCCCTCTCTGTTTCTTGCCTTCACCCTAACAGGAACAGCCGGAAGGAACAACCCTAGTCAAGGAGGAAGGGGACAAAGATGAAAGCAAACAGGAGCCTGAAGTCATCTACGAGACAAACTGCCACTGGGAAGGCTGCACAAGAGAGTTCGACACCCAGGATCAACTTGTGCATGTAAGTGACTGGTGTTCAGGGACGCAGCTTCCCAAATCAGCGACCTTTGCATGAGGTCAGCTTCTCTGACCCTGCGCGGAGTCAAGTTTCTTAGCTGGCAGCACTGAGAACTGGAGGGGGCTTTATGATTTTCTGAGAATAAAGGAAACCCTGAGCCATGGTGCTTGACCTGTTCAGTCAGCTAAAGCTTAGTGTAAAATTCAATAAAGTCTTCAATAGAGAGTGTAATGACTCTGATCCTGTAAGCCAGAAAACACTATTTTGAGTTAGAGGCTTTGATGGTTATTGAGTAATAGTAAGCTGGACATGAATTATTATTAACCTTTTAACTAAGTTTGATTCCCCTTCCAAGACCCAGTAACAATATAAAAACATTATTACAAAAACAGATGGGTTCTTTTGCAGACCTCAAAGTTAAAAGAGCCTCCTATTATTGTATGTAGCAATGTAGCCCTTTATTTTCGACCTGAAGGCAACATTGTGGATTAAAGTTTGCATGGAAAAAGAAATTGTGTTTAATGATGGAAACCTCACAATAATCACATTGTGACATCTTTCGCTCTCTTACCAAGGCCAGATACCTTTCACTCACTCTCTTTTTTTATTTCTGATGTCGTGGTATACCCATGACTCCTTTGCTGAGCTGTATCATGCTTGGCACAGTCTCAGATGCCAGTTGTGCCTTCTAGACAGATGGGGCCAAGAACAACTGACATGCAAGAGCATTTAGAGTGTCTGGAATAAGAAGATATAGGCTGTGATGACTTCTCAACAGCAGCCCTGTGTCTTGTTAAGGATGGTTTGACCAAATAGGACACTTTGTTATGCTTCTAGCGATTGAGCGTCTCTAGTGCAGTGGCTGTCAACCTTCCTAATTCTGTGACCCTTTAATATAGTTCTTCACGTTGTGGTAATCTCCCCAACCACAAAATCATTCTGTTGCTACCTCATGACTGTAATTTTGCTACTGTTAGGAATGGTAATGCAAATATCTGATATGTAGGGCGTCTGACATGCGACCCCCACAAAGGGATTGTGACCCAAAGGTTGAGAAGAGCTGCTGCTGCAGTGATGTGTCAGGTCCAGCACACAGAGTATGAGAAGCCCGATAGACACAATGTTAGATTTCACATCTCACCAGCAGGGCCTCCCCTCTTCTTTTTAAATCGCGCCTCCTGTATTTGTGTAAGTAGAATTATACATTTCTCAAGTACAGGCAAAAAGTAAGTCAAATGTTTTTAATTAAGGTACATTTTCAGGTTTTTCCACACATGTAATTTGATGGTTTTTTCCTTCCTCTTTGGTTTTATTTGAGTATTAATTTTAAACTAAGTCTGGCTTAATGACTCTTTATTTGTGCTGACTGCTTTAATGGAAAGCACAAAGGCCTTGTAATACTAAGAAGGTGATGTTAGATTTTTTTTTCCATGAGGAAATATTCTCAAGGAGTACCATGTGCCAGGAAAACTACCAGTGAGGACGAGGGGTATGGTAGCACCTTAACCTCTTCACTACCTAACTGTTACCAAGGCCAGTTTGGGTTTTGTCTCCCCCCAACCCCGCTTTTATGTTGTAAAGCCATTGTAAAGGCAGTGACTATGGTAGTTATTCTATATAATCTCAACACCAAGATTCCTGTGAAGTCTCCATAGATTTGAATCATTCTACGAGAAGGCTGCTGAAGCTACCACTTCAATGACCATGGTGTTTCCAGTTACATGGATCCCATCTTCACTCATCATGACTGCGCACATACACAGCAGAGTGTTAAGAGTCTAAATTACAGAGAGGAAAGTGGTGTCCGGGTTTAGTCATGATCCAGTGTGATACCTTTATGACCTAAATTTTAGCCTAAACTAAATTTCCAGAGTAAGCAAACTGAATTAAGTGAGTTAAAAGTTATAACTTATAAAACCTGTGGTCCATGTTCCTTCTATCCCATCTAAAGGATAGAAATTTCACATATCAGTTGCTTGTCCATTACCTGCACTATGCTGTCCTGCTCTGGGTGCTGCTGGAAACATTAGTGGTGGCCCTGGGCAGAATAGATGTGTGTGTGTGTGTGTGTGTGTGTGTGTGTGTGTGTGTGTGTGTGTGTGT